GGGGGGGGGGGGGGGGAGAATGCCCCAAAGAAGGAATGAAGTGCTGAGAACTTAGAAACCTAGAGGTTGTGGCCAGTTGCAAATGGGACTCGGGCTGGGGATGAGCTGGGGTTTTATTTTTTAAACTGTTTCCTAACAGAAAAAGTAACAGGCCAGATTCTCCCCTCACTCCCTTAAATGCCTTCAAGTGAGTGTAGTGATGCTGTTCGAAGTGGGAGCAGGGTCAGCTTTTACGGATGTGTACAGCAGGACTTCATACAGCACTTTTCTATTTGCCTAAAACAAAACTCTTTCCAGAAGTTCCTCCCTCCAGAGACTTTCTGTTGACTTCAGTGAGTCTCATTTTTTTGCCTCCAAATTTTTAAAAAGCAGGGATGGGAAGGGGAGAGGGAAAAGAAATCTTGAATTAGCTGCTTTGCATTCTGTTGCAGTCTGGATTTAGTTTACTGAAGTTTGTGCAGCTCAGGAGTGCTTTTGTTTGGCATTTTGTGGAAACAAGCGTGGTGTTCCTCACTTACCTTCTTAAAAGGATACCACAAGGAAAGTTCTGTTCATTGTGCCTGCATTTTATTTCCTGAGCTTCCCTAAAAAGTATTTATTTGCACATAGGGTTATCCAGTAGTTGAACTATCACTTTTCCATATTCGTAAGAAGATGTTAAACTAGCTGAACTGAAGAAGACAATGTTAAACCTTTAAATAGTTGATCATAAATCCACAGACACACAAAAAAATCCAATAAGCAGATGCTTAAAATTGTTGTTCTGTTAGACTAGGAGCATGTTTTAGTCGTACCAATTTGTGTGTACACGTATATTACAGAATAAAAAACTACCTTGGTTCAAGTACCTTTCTGTAAATAACACACTTAAATTTAAAAAAAGGTACAGCTTCCATTTTATGTGTAGGTATGAGCATAGTCTTCCTTCTGTTCCAGAAGCTTACGAGCCTCTAAAATGAGCAAATAGTGAAATCCTAGATTTCAGAGAGTGGTTTGGATTTCAGTGACAGCAAACTACAGACTAAAGAAAATCATTTAATATTTAACACAGAGGTATTACACATTTCTTCATAGCCTCTTATTTTGTTCTACTGAAAAAAACCCTGTAAATCAATCACCACATGTAATTATTGCTGTAGTAATTACTTTTGAGAAGTAGATTATCATTATCATTTGTGACCCTTGTTCACATATTTGACTTTTTCCTATTTCATTTTTCTTGAATAATGCCCATTTTTGAGTGGATAAGTAATATTCAGAGAACAATTTGATTGTAAGATTTCTAAATGGACTAGCAGATTAAATCAGAAAAGAACTTTAAGGGTGCTTTTAGAGACAGCATTTTCATTTCATTGAAAAGGCTGTACTCATCAAATACTACATGGTTATTTTTAATGAAGAGACAATAGCTGTGAGTAACATTGTAAGCAGAATTTTTCAACAGAAAGCTAAATTGCAACCTTAATTTTATATTCTTTCATTCTCTAAATAGTTAGCAGTTGACTTCATGGTAGAAACAACTTATAGTTTAAAAATAAACAATTTTGCAAACTATTTTACTGAGAAACTATATTGCATCAATGTACGCAAATGAGTTTTTTAAAACCATGAGTTCTGTTTGCACATGTAAATAAAATATAGAGCTACACATTAAATTTCCAATTTGTCATGTACTTAGCAACTCTTTCTGGGAGAAAGGTATAAAAGGTATTTTTGATATGGCTGTCACTTTTGATAACATAATTTGAAACATATCTTAGGGGAATAGTGACACAATACAGGTAAATACTTTTCTTTAAAACAACATGAGAATTGAGTTTTAGGGAGTTCTTATATTGAATGGATGAAGGTAATGTTCATGAGAAATCTAGGTATTAAGAACTTACTAATGACTAAATTTCTTCTGTTTTTGGAAAGATGTTTTTTTTGAATGAGCTGTATTAAGTTTTCCTTTTTTTTTTTTTTGGTTCATTGCTAGGTTTGACCTAATTATGCTAGGAACTTTTACTAATATTTCAAAATCTGGCATGTAACTATGTAAGAAGCTCGGCAGGGCAAATACTAGCTATTGCTCCAGCCTTTCAAAAATAATAAAAATATTTATCTAATTATACAGAAAATTGTCATTATTGTTTATAAAAATCTGTATACCATATACATTCACTTCTGGGCCATGGCAAAACACAACTGGAAATAGTTTTTCATCCCCAAACATTTTAAAACATGATCTTTCATTTGAATATCTTTTGTGAGTTAAAAAAAAAGTTCATCTATCAGGTTGTTCTTAATCAACCAAGAATCAGTTGTATTGAACTTGTCAGTCTTGACCTATTTTTCATTTTTCTAGTTTATTTGTCCCATTTACTGTGGTAAGTTTCTGAAAGGCATCTTTAGTGAGTGATTTTTTACTGATCAAAACCATCTTTAATTCAGACTTTAAAAAAAAGAATATGATGAGTGGAGTCCAAGACGGTCAGCAATATAGAAAAATATTCAGAATAAAAGCCCATACAGAGCCCAGTGTCAAAAGAAGGGGATTAGGGATTGAGCATTTATGTACCTGTTAAAACTCAAAATACCTGAGGGCTAGGCAATCCCTATGTATATTCATAAAGCCATACTTGGGACCTCCTGAGATGAGGGGGAAGAATAATTCATTTGTCTTGTTTAATTTGGCCATTTGAATAACCAGCTCTTTTTGTAAGCTGGCACACTTTGTAGCTATCATACTTGGGCAACTGACCCTTTTTTCACTTGTGGGCTTCTTTTTTTGTCCACATTAAAGGTTTTTGATCAGAAAGCAGTTGTTTAGAAATGCATTGAAATTGTAAAAATGCAGTCCTCCATACTATCTCTAAAGAAAAAAGAGCTATTTGTTGCACAGTTTGAATGAAAATACAATCCTAACGTATTTTTACATCCATATCTGCTCCGACCCAAAGTCAAGTAATATCCATTAGGCTAAAGTTGCTGGTGAAAAATCACTGGAAATTGTAGGTGTTAAATAAGTCACCACAGGGAGCAAGTCTTTTCCCACAAATTTAATAGAAACGTTAAACTCTGTAGTCCTTATTTAAGCATTTTTATTTTTCGTTGTCGCTTCAAAATGAATGTCCTTGCAGTGATATTTTAGTTTTATGACTATTGGACTCAATTTACTGAATGCTTGGCTCTTAGAAGAGAGGGAAAAATTACCAAATGTACTATACATGCAAATTCTACCTCATATAGGCACATATCTTAAAATGATATCATAGCAAGGCCATGTGTTTCTTAGGGTTGTACATTCTTTCATATTGTCTAAATTAGCAACTGTAACATAACTTATGTGAAGCATTGGTGGACTGGATAAAATGTGATCATGCTTAATGTTACCTGTTTTCTCATAAACATTTGAAGTATAATATTTCTTGTACGAAAGGCATAGATGCTATGGCGTACTGCTTTTGCAGGTAGCCTGGTAGTGGACTATAACAAAAAGATTACTATGTAGTAACAATAGCTCAGAGAGTTTGACATCCAGATCCCTTTTGAACAGTAGCCCTTTTATTTCTCTGTGTTTCTCTACCAGTTAAATGTTTATTTCTTTTTACCCCAAGAATCCTGAATCTTGGAATTGTACAGACGAGATGCTAAAGTTATTAGATTGACTGCTGATTGGACTGTAATCATTCGGCATGAACACGTACATTAATTAGTGTTGGCATGACTCCTGTGAACTTGGCGTAAAGTTCCAGCACTGCTGATCCAAAGACCTTTTTTTCTGGAGCTCAACAGTTCTGGCACCATTGTTTTAGAGAAGAACAAAAAGAAAAATTGTAAGATTCCATTTGTGCTGAGAAGCAAAACCGTCTGTTTGAGACAGGAGTAGACTGTTTGCTTTCATAT